GTGCCTGTGAGTTGCCACATTCAGCTCAACAGGCATACTGTTGTTGGTACAGAACAGGAGATTGCTGACGGTCTAGCTTAGACTACTGTTTCCAATCTAGATAATCTGCAATTCAGAAAATGCGTAATATAACAGTTAAAGTTATTTGACATACTATTTATTGGCAAATGTTGCTTTTTGAGTGGAATTCCACTTTAATTCCAAGGGGTTCATATACTTTTTCTTTTATTTTTATATTAAACTGCATTTGGTATATAGCTGCCCACTCCTCTCTATTTTAAGTGTATCCTCTTGTATAGTTGCTATATCCTGTTGTGAAGTTATAGCCCTGCTTAGCTCTGTATCATTAGAAAATACTGAAACTGAACAATTTTTTTCCAATCTCTATCATTTATGAACAAGTTAAACAGAATGGTCTCAGAACCAGCGCTGGGGCTATATAGCTGCCCACTCCTCTATTTTAAGTAGGTCCTCTTGTACAGTTGATATATCCTGTTGTGAAGTTCTTTCCCTGCTGAGCTTTGTATAATCAGCGAACACTGACATTTAACTATTCTAATCTCTTTATAATTTATGAACAAGTTAAACAGAATTGTTTACAGGACCAGCTCTGGGGCATGCCCATCATTTCTGGGGATGGGGGTTATTTCACTGCCTTGACAAGCAATGCAGGTGGAGGGGTTAACTTTCACTGACATGGACTACCAATGCAGGGAGCGGTGGGAGGTTAAATTGAAAAATTTCACAGCCTGTGACCACCAATGCATGGGGGGGGGGTTAACTTTTACTGCCACTCACCACCAATGCAGGGGTGGTAAACTTTTCAACACCAATGTGGGAGCAGGTAAATTTCACTGCCACTGACCATCAATGTTAGTAGTACTGACACAAGAGCTTGGGACTAGTATTGCGTTCACCAACACCAATGTGTGGGGAGGGGTGGTGTAACGGAACCGGTACCCGACCGCACTTGGGTATATTCCGTTATACCGCAGCTTCCCCTGTCCGAACACCATCCACGGACCACACCCTTGAAATCCCTCAAGAAATAGACAGCACCCAGCTCTCCTTAAACAGGAAGCCAACTCTACTTTATTTTACACAAACAACAGGATATATACAGAGGGTGGGGAAAACAACCAAGAACAGGAAATACATCATCACCCCTCCCCATCCCATCAAGACACAGAACAATGGGATGAAACACATGGCAAAGGACATTGACCAACCCCCACACCAATACACAAACAGTACATCCCATAATAGTTGGCTGGACAGGAAGACACAGCACAATGGGGGGTAGCACATGGCAAACAGACAATGGACAGCCATGTGGCCTAGACAAAGGACAACACACAAATGCACAATACTGGGACATTCACATGTACAACCTGTACCCTTAAACAGGCACAGGGTGGGTTAAACATAATGATTTGGGGAGATGATACAGAGGTCCCCCCACCCCCAAAAGTCACTCCCGTCACAGGTGGTTATTGCATTCACTGACATCAATGTTGGCAGCTATTATTCCATCCAATGAAACTAGTACTGGGGGGCTATTATTGCGTTTACCAACATCAATTCTGGGGGTTATTGCATTCACTGACACCAGTATTGGAAGCAATTGTACTCCAACTTCTTCAGTGTGCATTCGATATACTGCAAAAAATGCAGCAGGACCAACATTTTTGGGATGTTGAGGCACTGTATGGCCCTCTGAAGGTGTCGATCTGAGGCCCTCTATAATTTTCCAGTTGACTACTACTGCTTTAGATGTTCTTGTGCTGTCAGGATTAACTGTTAGAGTGATATCAAGATAATCTTCTACATGGATGCAAGTAACTTTTGAATACTGATCCCAGTGAATTGGTATTTAGGTGTTAGACAAAAGTTCCCAGATGAAAATCATATCTTCTATATAGCTTAATGCAGGACTTAAAGGAACTGTTGGAATAGATGTATTATTCTTGAGATGTACAGGTTTGCATAACTAGTCCAATTTTAAATAGAGATACAGTTGTGACCAAAATTATTCAACCCCCAATGCTGTAAAGGGGTTTAGGGACTATAGTGTACATTTGGAATTGTATTCAGAATCAAATCCTACAAGGACGTTGTAACTACCCAAATGCAACTAAAATGACATCAATTGTTTATGTAATACAGTAGTAAATGGTTCTTATGTGGTTTCTTCATTGCCACAATTATTCAACCCCTTAAAGACTACCACTCTGAAGAACAGAGGTTCATACAGGTGCTTTCCATCAGGTATTGAAAACACCTGTGGATGTCACCGAGCAGCAATCAAGCATAATAAGCACCAATTAGGCAGCTTTAAAATGACTGTGATACTCAGCTCCTTCTAGACATTTACTGGTGTGGTTACAAACATGGTGAAGGCAAGAGAATGGTCCAGGAAGACAAGAGAAGAGGTGATTTCTCTTCACAGGAAGGGCAATGGCTATAAGAAGATTGCAAAGATGTTAAACATACCAAGAGACACCTTAGGAAGCATCATTCGCAAATTCAAGGCAAAGGGCACTGTTGAAACGCTACCTGGTCGTGGCAGAAAGAAGATGCTGACTTCGACTGCTGTGCGCTACCTGAAGCGTAGAGTGGAGAGAAGTCCCCGTGTGACTGCTGAGGAACTGAGAAAAGATTTGTCAGATGTGGGTACAGAAGTTTCAGCCCAGACAATAAGACGCACACTGCGTAATGAAGGCCTCCGTGCCAGAACTCCCAGGCGTACCCCCTTGCTGTCTCCAAAGAATAAGAAGAGTCGACTGCAGTATGCCAAAAGCCATGTGGACAAACCACAAAAGTTGTGGGATAGTGTTCTGTGGACTGATGAAACAAAATTAGAACTGTTTGGGCCCATGGATCAACGCTATGTTTGGAGGAGGAAGAACAAGGCCTATGATGAAAAGAACACCTTGCCTACTGTGAAGCATGGTGGAGGGTCAATCATGCTTTGGGGCTGTTTTGCTTCTGCAGGTACAGGGAAGCTTCAGCGTGTGCAAGGTACCATGAATTCTCTTCAGTACCAGGAGATATTGGATGGAAACGTGATGCAGTCCGTCACACACCTGAGGCTTGGGAGACGTTGGACCTTTCAACAGGACAATGATCCCAAGCATACCTCCAAGTCCACTAGAGCATGGTTGCAGAGGAAAGGCTGGAACATTTTGGAGTGGCCATCGCAGTCACCAGACTTAAATCCGATTGAGAACCTCTGGTGGGACTTAAAGAAAGCAGTTGCAGTGCGCAAGCCTAAGAATGTGACTGAACTGGAGGCCTTTGCCCATGAAGAATGGGCGAAGATACCCGTAGATCGCTGCAAGACACTTGTGTCAAGCTATGCTTCACGTTTAAAAGCTGTTATAACTGTAAAAGGATGCTGTACTAAGTACTAAGATTGAATGTCACTTGGGGGTTGAATAAAACTGATAATGCTGTGAGCACAGAAAAGACATTTGTGGTTATTTCATTATAACTGTTATGTTATATTTGTCTGACCTACAAGTGCCTCTTTAATGTAAATGTAAGCAAGATGACTGAATGATCAAAAGCAATGTCAAAACTGGCCAAAACACTCAATTTCAGTGGGGGTTGAATAATTTTGGTCACAACTGTATATTGTGTTAACTATGTTTGTATTGGAAATGTTGCAAAATTTTTTCCACCTTTAGGATCACCATTTATGTTTCAATCAGATCATAAAATCTTTGTACAATTGACTTGATTTTCTCAAGCTATGTACAATAATCAAAGAACCTAACAATGTAGGTAACATTAGGTATACCTAATGTATCCAATCAATTTGTATCCATTTGGGCAGGTTCCTGCATTATATAGTTATCAGGGTATTGTGAGCTTAGGTAAACCTCATTAGGAAATTTTAGTAGTGTTTAGTCGATGTTTTCTCATTCTTTTGCCAGTGTACTTGGTATACCTTGTACATTCTGAGCCATGGGATTTGTATTAAAGTAGAGTGAAAAATAAAACTTTTTTTCTTAATTTTGGATAGAGTAAAGGAGGGTTATAAACCCTGTCAGTGTTTTTGCCATCTGTTTCCCATTGAGGATATCCTTTCACTTGGCTGTCCCATACCCAAAACAGGAAGTGAGAGGAAATCCTGCTAAAGTGAGGGTGTCACCAGAACTAGTGTTCGCATTGGAAGATTTTTCCTCTATTCCTCTTCTGGTGACAACCTAACAATTGGAATTTTCATTCGTTTTCACTCTTGGTGATAATGGTAAATGGGATAAATAGAGAAGGTGAATCTCCCTAATGAGAATTTAGAAATTAAAACCTGACAGTTTCTAAAACCTCTCCACTCCAAAACAAAAAAAAAAAAAGTTTTGTCTTCAGTTACACTTTAGGTAACATTGTGATAAACAAGATAATAAGATGAGTATGGCTTGTAAAGCAAAATGGTCCAATAACATGCTTACCACCAAGCTAGAATATGATGTAAATGTTAAAAGGAGGTGGGGCTTCAAGGAAATCCTATAGTCACAGCATACAATGTCATTTTTGAACATCAGCATTGTGAGAACAATACAAACAATAGTTATATCTGACAATCCAATAAGTTTTCTTGAAAAATCTTTTTTCCTGTTGCATGTGCTGCCTGTTTGCTGGCCATCTATTTCCACAACTTCCTGGATTCCCGCCATGCTTTACAGCACCTCTGTACTTCAGAAAGCAGGCTCTGTAAAATGTGTGACACATTAGTGCATATTTACAAGGCATGGTGATTGTGTCACAGAAGTGTGTGGAATTCTTCAAAAATCAAGTTTTTTTAAACTCCAACATGGTTCAGAATAATGGGAGTAGGCTAGAAATAATATATGTGGAAATCAATATATGATTTTAAACTTTGACCATAGATAGGCTTTAATTTTAAATAAACAGAACCTTAAACTAAACAGAATATTATTGGCTGGTTAGCTGCATATATGATGGATTAAATACATTTATTGTTCTGTGTATTACAGGTGATGTATATGATGTATGTGCTGTCTGCCTGGATGAATATGAAGAAGGAGATAAGCTACGAGTATTGCCCTGCTCTCACGGTATGGGGGTAAACAACATTCACATTGCCAGTATTGAAAGAAAAAAAAAGATGTTTTGATTAATGGCTTTAGATAAAAGATAGAAAGGTAGTGTGTAAAATAGTTCACTTCTATCATCATCATCCGTGTACTGAGACTGCTTTCCTTCCGTATAATGTCAGCAAGAAGTCACATCCACAAATAAAAATCAAAAGCAAGCCATACACAGTGTCTTACAGTACATTCACCTATAAGCAGAACATAACTGCATCCATGGCAATCTCGCATCCATGGCAGTCCTGGCTGTCTGGACTAATCACATGGTCCATGTCCCTAGATCCATTTTAGTGGATCCCTTTATCCATCACCACCTAGAACGTTTGTCTGTGGTATTTATTACCATTTGCAGTGAGCACAGATGTTTAAAGCGAGCCTCCAGAATTTAAAGGATAAGTTCACCTTTTGACAAAAAATAATACACATTTTTTTGCAGGTTAAAAAAATGTGTATTTTTTTTTGGTGCATGAGCCTATAAAGCATTTCAGCAGATCACTAATGCCATGCAGGTCTCCTGCAAACCTGTCAGTATATCTGCTTGCCCGTTTATGAGATCAACACTATCTAAGGTTTGTAGTGAGCATGTGCTACTGCTACTTTGTTGCCTTTATCTTTGGCTTGTCTACAGCTGTCTGTTGTCAAGCTTCCACAAAAAAGTGGACTGGTTTGTCACCAGGTCCAGAGAACCTCCAACCTTCACAGTGGATGCTCTGATGACTCCATGGAATAGTTTATCTTAGCCATCCATTTCTTCTTTACAGTTCCTTCCTCACCTTTTCCACAGGGGATGTACAGTCCGGTCCATAAGTATTGGAACATCAGTACAATTCTAACATTTTGGCTCTATATACCACCACAATGGATTTGAAATGAAACAAACAAGATGTGCTTTAACTGCAGACTGTCAGCTTTAATTTGAGGGTATTTACATCCAAATCAGGTGAACGGTGTAGGAATTACAACAGTTTGCATATGTGCCTCCCACTTGTCAAGGGACCAAAAGTAATGGAACAATTGGCTTCTCAGCTGTTCCATGGCCAGGTGTGTGTTATTCCCTCATTATCCCAATTACAATGAGCAGATAAAAGGTCCAGAGTTCATTTCAAGTGTGCTATTTGCATTTGGAATCTGTTGCTGTCAACTCTCAAGATGAGATCCAAAGAGCTGTCACTATCAGTAAAGCAAGCCATCATTAGGCTGAAAACACAAACCCATCAGAGAGATAGCAAAAACATTAGGCGTGGCCATAACAACTGTTTGGAACATTCTTAAAAAGAAGAAACGCATCGGTGAGCTCAGCAACACCAAAAGACCTGGAAGACCACGGAAAACTACTGTGGTGGATGACCGAAGAATTCTTTCCCTGGTGAAGAAAACACCCTTCACAACAGTTGGCCAGATCAAGAACACTCTCCAGGAGGTAGGTGTATGTGTGTCAAAGTCAACAATCAAGAGAAGACTTCACCAGAGTGAATACAGAGGGTTCGCCACAAGATGTAAACCATTTGTGAGCCTCAAAAACAGGAAGGCCAGATTAGAGTTTGCCAAACGACATCTAAAAAAGCCTTAAAAGTTCTGGAACAACATCCTATGGACAGATGAGACCAAGATCAACTTGTACCAGAGGGATGGGAAGAGAAGAGTATGGAAGGAAAGGAACTGCTCATGATCCTAAGCATACCACCTCATCAGTGAAGCATGGTGGTGGTAGTGTCATGGCGTGGGCATGTATGGCTGCCAATGGAACTGGTTCTCTTCTATTTATTGATGATGTGACTGCTGACAAAAGCAGCAGGATGAATTCTGAAGTGTTTCGGGCAATATTATCTGCTCATATTCAGCCAAATGCTTCAGAACTCATTGGACGCAGCTTCACAGTGCAGATGGACAATGACCCAAAGCATACTGCAAAAGCAACCAAAGAGTTTTTTAAGGGAAAGAAGTGGAATGTTATGCAATGGCCAAGTCAATCACCTGACCTGAATCCGATTGAGCATGCATTTCACTTGCTGAAGACAAAACTGAAGGGAAAATGCCCCAAGAACAAGCAGGAACTGAAGACAGTTGCAGTGAAGGAATGGCAGAGCATCACCAGGGATGAAACCCAGCGTCTGGTGATGTCTATGCGTTCCAGACTTCAGGCTGTAATTGACTGCAAAGGATTTGCAACCAAGTATTAAAAAGTGAAAGTTTGATTTATGATTATTATTCTGTCCCATTACTTTTGGTCCCTTAACAAGTAGGAGGCACATGTGCAAACTGTTGTAATTCCTACACCGTTCACCTGATTTGGATGTAAATACCCTCAAATTAAAGCTGACAGTCTGCAGTTAAAGCACATCTTGTTAGTTTCATTTCAAATCCATTGTGGTGTATAGAGCCAAAAAATGTTAGAATTGTGTCGATGTCCCAATATTTATGGACCTGACTGTAGTTAATGTTATTATCCTAATGTGATGTCAAAAGGATGCCAAAAGAAAGCAACACATTAGCAAGGCTAAAAACATTCCAGGAACATGTAACCAGTGTTCTTTATTAGGGGGGGAAAACAAATTAAAGAGGATCGGTCATAACAGGAAGATCAGAGTTGCCAATGCTGACTTGTTTTCCAGATGCTCTGGTTCTTTATTTTTTGTTAATACTTCATCACCGACCTGCAACACGCATGTGCATATAAGGAGCCCTGAAATCTAAAAATGTTCATGCTTTGGTCAGGTCAGTGACTCCTTAAGAAGCATCAGGATCAGTGTTTTTCTAGCAGAAGACTATAGATGTTTACTGATACCAGCAATTAAGCACTGTTAATCATCACATACAATAAATATGCAGTATAGGAAATGCCAACCCACCATAAGCTACAGTGTGCTTAATTATTGCAAATATTCAGTAAAAAGGAAAATGCCCATTGTGGTGGTGTATAGAGCCAAAAATGTTAGAATTGTGTCGATGTCCCAATATTTATGGACCTGACTGTACAACCCCAATTACAAAAAAGTTGGTGCAGTGTGAAAAATCTACATAAATACAGAATGCAATGATTTGCAAATTTCATAAACCCATATTTTATTCACAATGGAAAATATATCATATGTTTAAACTTTTACAATTTACCATTTAATAAAAAAAAAAAAAAAGTAACTTTGAAACTGGGACAGGACAACAGAAAGGTGAGTAGTACGTACAAGGAAGAGCTGGAAGAACATTTTACAAATAATTGGGTTAATTGGCAAACAGTCATTAGTAAGACTGGGCATAAAAAGGGCATCTTAGAGAGTCAGAGTGTCTCAGAAGTAAAGATGGACAGATGTTCGCCAATCTGTTAAAAGCTGTGTCTAAAAATTGTCAGACAATTTCAGTATAATGTTCCTCAGCATAAAATTGCAAAAACTTTATTCATCATCTACAGTACATAATATCATAATAAAAGATTCAGAGAATCTGGAGAAATCTGTGTGCAAGGGACAAGGCTGAAACCCAATACTGGATGCCTGTGATTTTTGGACCCCCAGAAGGCACTGCATTAAAAACAGGCATGGTTCTGTGGTGGACATCACTGCTTGGGCTCTGGAATACTTCCAAAAATCACTATCTGTGAAGACAGTTCATCGTGGCATCCACAAATTCAACGTAAAGTTCGGTCATGCAAGGAAGAAGCCATATCTGAACATGATCCAGAAACGCCGCCTCTATATCTGGGTCAAAGCTCATTTAAAATGGTCTGTTGCAAAGTGGAAGACTTTTCTGTGGTCAGATTATTCAAAATTTGACATTCTTTTTGGCAAGCATGAGCTCCACATCCTCCGGACTAAAGAGAAGAGGGAATGCTTGGCTCAGGGACGGACTGACCATTTAGGAACTCGAGCACTACCCAAGGGCCCTGGCCCAGTAGGGGATCCCATGAGATGCCCCTGGTACCTTTCATAGGCTTTTTTTGGGTGTGGTTTGAGTGTGGGCGAGGACACAGGAGCACCATGATCCACTATTGCCCAGGGGCCCCATGACTTGTCAGTCTGCCCCTGGTTTGGCTTGTTCAGTTCAAAAGCCTCTGAGGGTATGGGTGCAAAGGCACCATCAATGCTGACAGATATATCCAGGTTTTAGAGCAGCTAAAATGGGACAACGTTCTTCTCCCAAAACTCCAGCATCTGGTCTCAGTCCCCATATGTTTATAGAGTGTTATTAAAAGAAGAGGGAATTTTACAATGTGCTGAACATGGCTCTGTTTCAACTGTTTTGGAATTGGGGTTGTACTTTGGCAGTTTTTTTTTTTCCCCGTGCCAACTTTTTTAAAGCGTGTTGCTGCCATCCATTTCAAGATTACCTTTTTTTTCTAAAAATTTCATATTTTCTTATTTTAACAGCTTTCCCTCTGCCTTATATCAGATATGCTGCTACAGGGCAGCAGGGATGCGCAAAATCACGTGTATACGTGATTTTGCATTTCGGGGTAGGGGACGCGCACCACACCCATGCCGCAATTTGCGGCCTCTGCTGTCAATCACTGGGTCCCCGGTCGATGATTACTCCTCGGCACTTGGTGGTTGCCGAGCAGAGCCATACAAAGCAGTGTACTTACAGTGTAGGGCACACACACAGCTTACAGTAAAACAGCATACAGTTAACCCTTTGATCGCCCCACATGTTAACCCCTTCCTGCCCAATGCCATTAGTACAGTGTCAGTGCTTTTTATTAGCACTGATCACTGTATTGGTGTCACTGGGGATGTCAATGACACCAAGTCAGTTCCCCCCCAGTGTCAGAATGCCCGCCGCAGTCCCACTATAAGTTGCTGATTGCCACCATTACTAGTAAAGAAAATAAAAATCTCTGTATATATACCGACATTTGTAAACGCTATAACTTTCATGTAAACCAATTAATTTACATGTATTGGATTTTTTTTTAGCAAAGACATGGAGCAGAATACATTTTGGCCTAAATTTATGCCGAAATTTGTTTTTAAAATTTTTTTACTGGACATGTTTAATAGCAAAGAGTCAAAAATATTCATTGTTTTTTTTTTTTCCCACAAATTGAGCTTTCTTTCGGTGGTACTTGATAGCCTGTGCATTTTTTATTTTTTGCGCTATTAAAAAAAAAAAGAAAAAAAAAAAAGGAAAGCAACAATTTTGTAACGCAGCGCCGTAACACAACAAATAGCCTGGTCAGGAAGGGGGTTAAATCCTCTGCAGGTCAAGTGGTTAAACATTTGATATGTTTTCTATTCTATATGCAAATCATTGCATTGTCTTTGTAGAGTTTACACAGTGCCCCAACTTTTTGGGAATTTTGGTTGTAGTATTTGGACGTTCTCAGAGTCCTTGCAAACTCTCCATGGGCTCTCCTGAATCATCTGGACCTATTGTCCCAAGGGTTGCTCCACCATCTTGCTTCTCAATCACTGGCTTCAGTGGCATTGCTGTTGAAGCCCAGGTCCTGAAGAACAGGGCCTTTCGGGTTTGGTCATCCTTACACTATTGAAAGCTAGTGGTAAAGGAGGCAAAGGCTGCTGGAATTTGAAGTCGCTGACTGTCACATCACTGCTGTAGTTTCATACAATGCTGGCCAAGAAAATTTCAAGGGTGGTGGCGTGGCTGGAGAATTTGAAAAATAAGGTATCTAGGGAACGATTTTAAACACTTCAGGCTGCATTCACTTGGGCGACACCGATGAGAATGACAGTGGCAGGAATCTATGTAATGTATGCTTGTTGTATAATGATGTGATTCCTTACATGTACTTTATACCTAAGTATTACATTATGTTAGAAATAAGGAGGTGGGGTTCCATATAAACCAGTTCAATCTTTTCTGTGAAAGCTATAACTCAGACTTGTAATCTTGTGAACACTATCTAGAATGATCCATTGGTAAAATACTATCCACTGATTGCAGAGCATTATTAAGCCTGCTGGCTGATCTTATAATACCTTAAATGTGAAAGCTTGATGTAATTATGTTTTCTTTCATATTACTAGCCTATCACTGCAAGTGTGTTGACCCATGGTTAACAAAGACAAAGAAGACCTGTCCAGTGTGTAAACAGAAGGTTGTCCCATCCCAAGGGGACTCTGATTCTGATTCAGACAGCAGCCAGGAGGATAACGATGTCTCAGAAAACACTCCATTGCTTCGTCCCACACCTTCTGCCAGTACTCAGTCATTTGGGGCCATATCCCAGTCTCACTCACAGCAAAGCATAGTGGAGTCCTCCACTGAGGAGGAAGAGGATGACAACGACGATGATGCAGATGACAGTGACAGTAGCGATGAGGAACATAATACACAAAGTGTTGTGGTCCAGCTGCAGCACAACATGGAGCAGGAGTCCAAGGAGAGGAACACTGTATGAGCCATGACTGGAGAATTGATAGTGCTTGTCAATCATTTAGGATGCTAGATTTTATTTTTTCCAAAAGAAGTCTGTAGCAACAGACTGACTTCAGCCTCCTAGCTAGCTTCTGAGGCCGCAAGGCTGATATACTGTGTAATGTACAGAGTATTTAAAATGTAAAGCTGCTACATGAAAGATGCTTTAGTTCTACTTTTGGACACTTAAGTCACAAACGTGGACGCTACCCTGCAATACATGCATGGTTTTCTCTCTGCACCTTAACATCTCTGAAGCTCCAGGCACCAAATTTTATGAAAGACATTTTATTGGTGCAGCATGTACTTGTACACGCCTTGCTATGCACATTGGACTTTGTTCTTTTAATGCTGGCTTTAACCTAATTATGCAGAAATAAGTATGTTTAAGTTACAGAAGGCAGACTTGTGGCCTTTGTAACCCAGTGAAGATGTTGGTGCATGACGCACAGAAAAACAAATTGCCATTGTCCAGGTAACTTTCAGGTTTACAGTAATATAAGTCAAATGAAACCAATACAAATGTCTGCACGAAAAACACTCATTATAATGCAGGTGAGTGTTTTCATGACCTGGAAGAAAAGTATTGTGTTGGAGCTGATCACCTCTTATAAAGTATATATTTTTTCTTTCTTTTGACTTTGTATCGATTCTCTGGAACATATGCACAATAAGCTGAAGCTTATTAAATTCATGAACCGTATGTATTCACCGTATGATGATATGAACGCTGTTGTATCAATATAGAAAGTCTGTTATAAGTGTGCTAAGGTTTTTTTTTATATCACACGACTTGAAGTCTAAAAATAAAATCTGATTTCTCACCTGATAAGATATGTGGAACATCTTTCTCTGTATTACTTAAATGTACACACAGCTTGCTAGTCCAATATGTTTCCATACAAGCAGTAAGTAGCACTTGGGTGCATACTTTGGGTTGAGCAGAAATTCAGTGCCAAAATATAGATTGGGGTGCCCAGATTATTAGCTGTGAAATTAAGTTTTTTGTCAATCTCACTATAGCTGAACAACGGCTACAGTGCAGTCATTCAGTTCTGTGAGGGTGTACATGGACGTCCTCCCAGAACCCACCTCCTGTGCTCCCTGTGACCGCTGTGTCCTTTGGACACAGCTGGTCATAGATCGAGGTAAAGGTCACATAGATCGAGGTGATTGGTCACAGTGATCACATGCACAGACTGGGCCAATCACAGCCCATCTGTGTCATGCGATCAGCTGTGGCTAATCACAACAAAAAAACACTGAAATTCACGGATATAGGCAATCATCTTGTATAAAGAAAAAAAAAAGTACCTATCACTTCCCCAGAGTAGTACAATGTTACTATGTTAACATTACAGTATATTACTCTGGTTACAGTGTTTTAGTTAAAATAAAATTGTAAAAAAAATAATTAATATACACACACAAAATATGAAAAGTCTACACACCCCTGTTAAAATGTCAGGTTTCTGTAATGTAAGAAAATGAGACAAAAATAAATATTTTCAGAACTTTTTCCACCTTTTAATGTGACCTATAAACTGTACAACTCAGTTGAACAACAAACTGAAATCATTTAGGTGGAGGGAAGTAAAAATAAACTAAAATAATATGGTTGCATAAGTGTGCACACCCTTAAACCAATACTTTTTTGAAGCACCTTTTGATTTTATTCCAGCACTCAGTCTTTTTGGGTATGCCCACTCTTCCTTGCAAAAACACTCCAAATCTGTCAGATTGCGAAGGCATCTCCTGTGCACAGCCCTCTTCAGATCATCCCACAGGTTTTTGATCAGATTTAGGTCTGGGCTCTGGCTGCGCCATTCCAAAACGTTAATCTTCTTCTGGTGAAGCCATTCCTTTGTTGATTTGGATGTATGCTTTGGGTTGTTGTCATGCTGAAAAATGAAATTCTTCTTCATGTTCAGCTTTCTAGCAGAAGCCTGAAGGTTTTGTGCCAATATTGACTGGTATTTGGAACTGTTCATAATTCCCTCTACCTTGACTAAGGCCCCAGTTCCAGCTGAAGAAAAGCAGCCCCAAGGCATGATGCTGCCACCACCATGCTTCACTGTGGGTATGGTGTTCTTTTGGTGATGTGCAGTGTTGTTTTTGTGCCAAACATATCTTTTGGAATTATGGCCAAAAAAGTTCAACCTTGGTTTCATCAGACCATAACACATTTTCCCACATGCTTTTGGGAGACTTCAGATGTGTTTTTGCAAAATTTAGCCGGACTTGGATGTTTTTCTTTGTAAGAAAAAGCTTCCATCTTGCCACTCCATCCCATAGCCCAGACATATGAAGAATACGGGAGATTGTTGTCACATCTATCCCACAGGAAGTATTTGCCAGATATTCCTGAAGCTCCTTTAATGTGGCTGTAACCTCCCAGAGCAGTTTCTTCTCGTCTTTTCATCAATTTTGGATGGATGTCCAGTTCTTGGTAATGTCACTGTTGTGCCATATTTTCTCCACTTGATGATGACTGTCTTCACTGTGTTCCATGGTATATCTAATTCTTTTGTACCCTTCTTCTGATACCTTTTAACAGTGAGATCCTTCTGATGCTTTGGAAGCTCTCTGCCGACCATGGTTTTTGCTGTAGGATGCGACTAAGAAAATGTCAGGAAAGACCTACTAGAACAGCTGAACTTTATTTGGGGTTAATCAGAGGCACTTTAAATGATGCCAGGTGTGTACTGACTCCTATTTAACATGATTTTGAATGTGATTGCTTAATTCTGAACACAGCTACATCCCCAGATATAAGAGGGTGTGCACACTTATGCAACCACATTATTTTTATTTATTTTTTTTACGTTTACTTCCCCCCTAAAAGATTTCAGTTTGTTTTTCAATTGAGTTGTACAATTTATAGGTCACTTAAAAGCTGGAAAAAGTTCTGAAATGATTTATCTGTGTCTCATTTTTTTTTCTATATCAGAGAAACCTGACATTTTAACGGGTGTGTAGACTTTTTACATCCACTGTGTGTATGTGTGTGTGTATGTATGTATATATATATTTACATTTTTTTTTTCCCCGCACGGTCACCAGTCAGTGTCCCGGATCACTGCCACACTAATTATGATGATGTACTGCATGATGACAGTATGTGGAGAAAAAAACTAATTTTTTTTTTGTTTTCATTGTTGAAAAAAATTACAACTTCAAAAAACTCATGCCTCTTACTTAATACTGCAGACCCCCAAAAAGGGGTAATTTGGGGGATATCCGTACTGTCTTGACATTTTTGAGCCTCAAGAAATAAAATCAGTGCCATCAGTACATTATGACTGATCGATTTTTCAGATATATAGCATAGTTTGTAGACTCTATAATTTTGCTACAGACTAAATAATATAGACTAATTTTGGTTATTTTCATCAAAGAAATGTAGCAGAATACATTTTGCCCTAAATTTATGAAAACAAATTGTTGTTTTTTGCAAAATTTTATAACGGAAACGAAGAAAAATGTTTGTCTTTTTTTATTTAGCAAAAAAAAAAAAATAAACACAGTGGTGATTAAATACCACTAAAAGAAAGCTCTATTTGTGTGAAAAAAAGATAAAAATTTAGTTTGGGTACAGTGTTGCATGACCACGCAATTGTCATTCAAACTGTGAGAACGCCGAAAGCTGACAATTGGCCTGGGCTGGAAGGGGATAAAAGTGCCCTGTACTGAAATGGTTAAATATCACCAAAAGAAAGCTCTATATGTCTCAAAAAATAAAATTTGTTATGGGTACAGTGTTGCATGACTGCGCAATTGTCATTCAAAGTGCAACAGCAATGAAAGCCGGAAATTGGCCTGGGCAGGAAGGGGGTGAAAGTGGTTAAACAGATCTGTTTTTACCCTTCTATAATGGATGACTGATAGTTGGTTTAGTAATTATCAAGGCATGTGAGATCTAAATCTAAGAACAATTGAACTCTACTGGTATAAGTAATGCCTCCATTTAGAAACACTTAAGATTTGATTTTAAGCAAAATTAAGTAAAAAAACTTTTGGTTTTATACCAATAAAACTAAAGCTGGTAAGAGGTGGTTTGAAATTTGTCTGCTTCAGCAGTAACTGGCTGATCTTTGATATATGTGTGGCCTTCCCTGTTCTACAGAAGTCAATCATTAAATTGACTCCTTTTGAATGGTAATGTTGTTATACTTTTGATCAGAAGCTACAGCCGCTGATCAGTGTATTCTGACAGCTGAGAGTTTGGTTTTCACAATACAGTGGTTTGGCAGGAGGGATTCCTCCATTCACCTTGCTTGTGTGTTGGAGCAATCCGTTTAAATAAAACCTATGTGGTTCACAGCCAAAGTTAAAAAAGAAACTAATAACAGGAAAAGAGCTTTTAAAAATAAAAATGAAGGAGCTCTATCCCCATCTAATTGGTATATGGAGTATAACGTAAAAAGAAAATCAAGGAAACAAAAATTCAAAACGAACGACAGATTGAAAAAGATAGCAGGACAAACCCCCAAAAATTCTTCAAATATATTAATAGTAAAAGAGGTCCGGTCCGAGCATGTAGGCCCTTTACAAAATAATCTAGAGTGGGTGACTGGGGACAAAGAGAAGGCACATTTATTAAATACCTTCTTCAGCTCTGTGTTTACAAAGGAGCATGGGG